GTTCGTGTTGGGTTACACGAGTGTTCTAAGCGTCATGTGCGGGTTGCACGTGAGTTCGATATGTGTTCGTGTGGGTTACACGAGTGTTCTATGGTCATGTGCGGGTTGCACGTGAGTTCGATATGTGTTCGTGTTGGGTTACACGAGTGTTCTATGGTCATGTGCGGGTTGCACGTGAGTTCGATATGTGTTCGTGTTGGGTTACACGAGTGTTCTATGGTCATGTGCGGGTTGCACGTGAGTTCGATATGTGTTCGTGTTGGGTTACACGAGTGTTCTATGCGTCATGTGCGGGTTGCACGTGTGTTCGATATGTGTTTGTGTTTGGTTACACGAGTGTTCTATGCGTCATGTGCGGGTTGCATGTGAGTTTGATATGTGTTCCTTGAGTTTATTGTGTGTCGTGTTTGGAAGCACGAGAGTTTTTGCGTTATGTGCTAAGTGCACATGGTTGTTAAGCGTTGCGTGCTGGATGCACGAGGTATTATGAGTTGTGCTGGATGCACAGGGTTTACTTTTGTTATGTGCTGGGAGCACAAGGTGAATTTGTGTTACGTGCTGAGTGCACGAGGTACTTTTTTACTTTATGCTAAGTGCTAGCTGCACAAGGTTTTTATTTGTCCTGTGCTGGATGCACATGTGTAATGTGTGTTTCAGATGTTGTTTGCTGTGCACAAGTGTGTGTATTTGCCTGGTTAAATTTGTGTTGAATCTGGGATCTTGTAGTTCCCACGTTTCTTGATTATGTGATTCTGTGGTTGCAGACCTGCTATTTCTACACTCTAAAGTGTATATTGTGCGAATAATGTGGCAGACACATGTTGTCAAACTAGTCTGTTTCAGCTCTTTATGCGCGGTAGATGCAGTGAATAATGGATCAATATATTATATTTTGTAGAAGTAGTTTGAGGGATAGTTAATTATTTATAGTGTATTATGGTGTACTGTTTTAGAAATATATTTGAGCTTAAACTTTAATTTTATAGTAATATTTTTTTTCAGATGGGGATTTTTACGAATGGTTAATACTGTTAATGATTAGAGTAGGTGTTCATGTTGATATTTCAGGGTATTGCACAGGCTTAGTTGCAGTGGCAGAAGTCAGCTCAGCATGTTTGTAGGCTGAGGAATGCTGAGTGTGGTGTAAATGGCCTCTCTGTGACCTGACCTTGCTGAGTGCTGGCCGTGTTTTGTTACAATGTTTACCTTTTAATACTGATGCTCTAGAGTTTGCTTTGGGAAATCAGCAATGCATGAATGTTTTATTTTGGGAACAAATTTTTGTTTTTACAGGTGATAGATTGTTGGAGAAATTTTAAAAGGGAAATTGGTTTTGCTTATGGGTTAGTTTGTAACGATTTGGGCCCAAATCATTTTTTTTCAGCAATCATGTTTTTGAATTTTTATCAGAGAATTACACATGCAATTTTTCAAGTTCATTTTCTGAATTTATGTATTGTTTTTTAAGTTTTTGAAGTATGTGATTTAAAAATGTAGCCTACTGAAGTAAAATGTTTCACTTGTTTTAACACCAAAGCAAAGTAGGGAGTGATTTGAAATGTTTGTTTAACTATTATTTTTTTTTATAGTAATAAATTTTAGTTGTGTTTTTAAAGATACTAAGGGAAATTGAATTTGATTCGGGAGATAATTTTGTTTTGTTAGGTAAGAGATAAATCGCATGACTCCCCGAAAATAACTGTATTGGGAAATAATGTTTTAAACGTTGCAATAGTGTCCTTTAGTGAATTTAATAGTCTCACAAAATTTAAAGACACAGACGGATTATGTATTAAAAGAATATTTTATTGAGATATATTTTGTTGTTTAGATTTTTAATTATCAGGGACTTTAATGGGAGACAAATTGAATATTTTTGTTTATTCAGAATTAAATTAAATTTATACTAGAAATGAAAGACTGTTCCATCATTTATTGTTTTAAATGCTTTGAAGAAGATTATATTTGAAGAATTTAAAGTAAATCAATCGGAAATTATTTATAATGTTTTGTTGTTTAATCGTAGAGGCCAATGATTTGTTAAGGTAACACATTCCAAACACTTCTCTTAGTTTCAATAAATTTTGTTTCAATGTTGGTTGTTTTGTTTTGTTCTTAATGTGAGTTTGAGAGTTTCTTTAAAAGTCTAGGGTTTTTTTTATAAATTATATGTTGTATTTGTTGTGAGTTATATGTTTGTGTAGGCTTCCTATTTACCCATCCCCACTGACCAACTGTAGACAAGGCTACAAGAACTTCATGATTTGCCGTGTTATCTTCAACATTGTGATCGGAGGAAGAGACTTTGTCAAACTCAATGAAAACTGGGGAAACGCAGCTGGGGGCAATGGCTTTTAAGAAGAGGAGAACTTCAGGCTGCAGTACACTCAATCAATGGCAAAAGCAGTCCAACATCATCGTCAACCAAAGTCGATTCATCATCAATGCTGTCAAGGAACGCTGGATGGACTACAGACTATAGACACCGAAGTGGGAGACATTGCAGAAGACATGGCTGTGGTCAAACATCTGAAGACCAACGACTGTTCGAGGAGGCTTTATTGACGCAACTGCTGAGGAAGTCAGAAACAGTTGGTCAGTTCTTCCCATCCTAAACCTTATTTTAATTTTGTTTAGGTACAGTTTTAAAAGATTTTATCAGTTTTTGTTATTAATTTTTTTTCTCTCTCTGAGTGGATGTATCTATGTAGTTGAGACGCTGGGGACATCGTCTGGAGGAAATGGGGGGATGTAATAGGAGGGTCAAATATTGTAAAGAGGAAGTGTTTGGCAATGTTGTGTGAGTAGGCTGGTAGTGTTGTTAAACAATAACTTGTTGTGCTGACCTACTGAAGGCTGTTGCTTTAAGTAGGCCAGTGCACTTGATCAAGGGGTGAGTTTTGGTGTGGAGTGTTGGTGTGGTGCACCAGAGGACGGGGTCCTGCTGGGGGAGCTGGAGCCCAAGGGGGGGGGTTAAGGGTTTTCAAAATTGGGGTTTAGAGTCTTTTCCAAATTGGGGTTTAAGTTACTAAATTATTTATACAGTTCCAGTCTACTCTACCTTTTTGTTTGTTAGTTTAGCTTTGTGTTCTTTGTGTTGTTTTGAGTAATTAATAAAGTTGGGTTTTGTAAGCGAGTGCTGAGTTTCATTCCTGAGCTACGTCACCCAAAGTAGCGGTAGGTATTCCAAGAGGAATACGACCGTTACACTAGACATTAATCAGAAACCCATTTAAGAAATACAAAATATTAAATTCTTTGGACTTGAAATGGATAAAAATCTAACTTTGGAATTCTCACGCAAACAAAGATATGATAAAACTGTATCCGGTCTATAACATCTATGAAACAGTTCTTTTTTAGCGAATTTCCCTATAGGGAAGTAGCTATTACCGTAGGTGGCACGGTAAGACCTAGACCCGGGACCGATTTACTTTTTCATTTTGATGTCCCCAGAGGCCAAAAACACTATTCGTTCAAATTTTTATATATGTATATATATATATATATATATATATATATATAGACTTATATATATATATATATATATATACGTCCGTGAACGCGATAACTTGAGTAATTTTTGTCCGATTTTGATGAAATTTGGTTTAAAGGTGTAAAGCGGGATAAACTTGAATGAGTTCGCGAACCAGCACGATCGGACCATGGGAACGGGGCTTTACGGGGGGTTTTATGGGGTAAAAAAATGGTTTTTCTCACTTTTGACCCTCAAAACACAAAATTTCCCGATTTCTCTTTAGACCTTTTTAAAGAGCTTAAAAAAACAAATAATTTAGTATATAAAAGTATTTTTGTTCGATTATTAGTAACGGAGAAAATTAAAAAAATTGTGAATTTAAAATTCCCATGTTATTCTTATGGAGAATATTGTCAAATGTTGTAGTTTGCTTGTTTATGGATATATTTTGATCAAACTTGGCAAATTTATTTATTTTGTACTAAGCTATTAATATTTTACTCAAAAACACACTTTATTAGTTTCCTTGTAGCAGCAAACCTAGGTACTCGTTAAACCTAATGTTATTAAAATATATTCAACTGAAAATCAATTCAGACAAATGGAAATTCGCTTAGTCGGCAGGTTTGCTGCGGCGGGGGTATTTTATAAACAAACTTTCTCAATTGGCATTAACTGGTGAACACCACCACCACAATATTAGAAAAAAAACCAATATTTGCTTTAAACCGCCACAGATTAGAACTTTACAGTAAAAAACCAAGTTAAACCGGATCAAAATTTTACAACAAAATTCCAAGTGAAATAAAATCGGCAAAAAGCATGGTGGGATTTAAGAGGGGGTCTTAAAACATTTCTCATCAACAAGGTATTGTATTCCCTTGATGAACTATAAAATTTTAGAAGGAGCGTTAATTTTTAATTTGTGTAAACTTATGTTAGATTTTAAGAACTTTGTATTTATAGAATGTAAGAACATTTTTATGTAAAAACGTAAAAGAATGACACTATTCATGTACTTTAGTGCTTTATTAATGAATAAAGAAATATTGAATTGAATATATATAAACATTTGAACGAATGGTGTTTTTGGCCTCTGGAGACATCAAAATGAAAAAGGGAATCGGTCCCGGGCCTCGGTCTTACCATGCCACCTACGGTAATACTGTAGCTACTTCCCTGCAGGGAAATTCGTTAAAAACCCATACAAAATCTGTAAATAGTCATTAATGTCATATTTTGTGTTTTATATATCGCCAAAATACAATATTGCACAGCAAATAATATTGTGCAATCATGATATTTTAAGTATTAGACTTTTGGTCAGTTTTACATACTGTTGAGTTTAAAATGATCAAACCTGTGATCGGGCGATCTGTAACAGCGAAATAAAATGAAATTAATACAGTCTAAACCTATGACTGTAATACTACTTTATTGCCCAGAAACATTTTACAAATCCAGAGGAACACACTTTCCACATTTCACCTGTTATTTAAATACTAAAATATAATTTTTCCAGGAGACTGTTGAATCTGGAAGTGACCATGGTGAGAGTCATTGTCCAAAGAGAAAAAGAAGAAATACCACAAGTAAGACCTTGCCAGTAGTAGCAGCCACATCAAATGATATTCAAACACTATCTTCAGATTCAGACTCAGAAGAGGTAAGACATCATGTTGAGTTGTGTTTAAGTCATAAACTGTTTGCAAATATTCTAGAAAGGTTGGAGGGTTTGAAAATGGAATATTCTTGATTGTTGATAACTTGCCTAGCTTCGGAATTCCCATTTGTGGGTTTACACCACGGCCACCATTAACTCCGGAATTGGCAATGTCGCAAGTAGGGTTGTTTACTGTCAGACGTCCCATGGCAGACAGGTGACATCAGCTCAATAATTCACACTTTATTCCTTTCTTGCCCTAAACATAGTATATGGAGGAAGTATTGTTTTTGTAAACATTCAGAGGTCCTCTGAACCCCAAAAAGTGGTTTTTGAAGTGTTTTCTGTGTGTGTGTGTGTGTGTGTGTCTGTGGATGTGTACAGAGCTAAAATTCGTATGTAGGTACTAATCTATGGTATCTCCAGGCGTTTTTTTTTTTCATTTTTTTATTTGTATTTTTAATGGGGATTTTACCATAAAAACCCATAAAATAACGGAAAAATAAGATTTTCTCGAAAATGGCCTGAACAATTTTGAAAACATTTAGTATGTTTTAGACCTTTAGGTTCTGAACAAAATGGTACAAATCACATTTCCGTAAAAATTACGGTTCAAAAGTTATTGTAACTTTTGTGATTTTCTCCTACAAAAATATCATAGTTAGTTACTCCCACAGCTTACCCATGATAATGGTTGTTGACAAGCTTATGGGAGAAAGTATGTGTTAGATTGCTGATAACGTTTATTTAATAAAACATTAGCTACAGATGGTTCATATAGATGGGAAGTCTACTTCAGTATCCAATATAGTTAATGGGGTTTTACCTATTGAACACGCCTGACTTTTGTTTGTGTTGTGAATCCAAGCTAATAACCTTATGTAGTTTTATTTTTATTTTTTATTCTTGATGGATTAGACATTATTTCAAGTAGAATTGCCATTTATTATCAACCCATTGGCATGCCAAATTGCACTACTTGATTACACACAGAGATCTGTTTTTTTTATCTTTTAGTGACCTACAAATGCAACTAATGGGAAAGTAAAAAAAAGACATGACACTTTTCAATATGAAACTGTTTGAGAAAAAAAAGAGTTTATTACTGCAAATAAACTAAAATCTCTAAATAATGACCTTGCGATTTTATTTATCGTGGACAATTTCTCTTAAGTGATGTCATTGACTATTGGATACTTAGTCAAGTGATGTCCATTTAAATCTACACAGGCTTCCCATCTTTACTGTTAACTTGCCGATATTTTTCGTAGCATTGATTGATGAATAGCAACTTCCTCGTGTTTTATGCACAGCTTAAGTTCTTCAGCTATATCGCGGGGCTTCGACAAAAATCTTTAATCTTTAAATAGCACCATAGCCAAAAGTCACGTGATGTAACGTCAGTGCAACAGACTGTTTACGTGCTGAACGTTCATGACTGCAGTACACTTGCGCGAACATTTTTAATAATTTACGGTGTTCTAACTGTATGAGGCCTCCCACTTGGCTAAATTTTGAGCACTTTTTTGAGCCCTACTTTCTCACTTTAAAATCACATTTATTAAATAATAGCTATCTGCAACGATGAACTCTGTAGACAGTTAATGTTAACAGCTAAGAAACGGCCGTATAAAAACTATCTGGTTTTTATAGCTCACCTCGGCCCTTTATATGAGTTCCTTATTCATTATTATTATAATTTTGTCTCATATTATTATCTTCCTCCTCAGAAATACCCGAAGATAATTTGCAATTATTTATAACCGATCTATTCCACTCTATCCTAAATTAGAGGTAATCGTGACAAAACATAACCTTAAAACTCACACTTGTTTACTAATATTTTTGTTATCCCTAAAGAGGTTAGGAAACTGAAGAAACTAAAAGTTCATCCAATAACTATTGCAGATTCACAGCAAAAAGTTATCGACTTGACAAGTGCTGTGATTCCTCAAAACAATGTCGAACTATTGGCAATGTCCCTGTACGGAATAGCTCCGTCTAGGAATGCCAGAGCACATTAGAAGCGGGATGAAAATGTTCCATCCAACTCCAAGTATGCCAGTGGGTTAACAATTGGTGGTAATGTACTTATATGAATGCTCGCTTGGTTATGAAAAAGCCACCAGCTCTTGAGAGAAGTCTGTAGCTTTTTGATCGCTTGAAACTAGGTCCAGCTGTCCTTGATCATTGTGCTTTTGTGATGTGTCTGTTGCAGTTTTTATCGGTTTGGTTTTTGTTTCATCAGTTGTCGGTCTTTGGTTTGAATAAAATTACAACCCTCCTATATTTTAGTCTAAATTAATTAGGCTAATAGTTATTTTCTTTGTTAAAGAATTCTTGTTGTTGGTGGCAGGCTTTTTTGTTCTTATCGGCTAGGGATTATTGCAGGTTAACCTTCAGATTCACTTGTAACTGATAGAAAATAGTGCACTAATTATTTAAACAACTGTAGAAATCAGTTACTATTGATTCCTAACGCTTATAAGTATTATGAAATGGTGATAGAAAAGAAAATTGTTTGTAGTAAATGTGAAAAATGTTGCAGGATGAAGATACTTCTGCTCCAATACCTGGAGAAGTATGCACAGGAATACAAGACGGTATTTTGTGTCAATGTGAAAGATGTAAAATGTGTGTGAAGAAAATTGAACGTTCTATTGATAAAGATGACACTAGTAAAGACAGCCATAAACCATTATCTTGTAATATTTGTAATCTGAGATTTATTTACAAAAGCAGGTTGGAAAAACATTTAAAGGTTCACAAAGGACTAAAGTTGTTTCCATGTGATATCTGCAATAGAGCATTTGCACAAAAAGGTGGCCTGAAAGCTCATATAGAAAGAAAACATTCAACAAACAAATGTAAAAGAGTGCAAACAAAAAAAGAGATTTGTAATATTTGTAACAAAGAAATCTCTACCCATCGCCTTAAAAATCATATTGAAACAGTCCATTTTCGTAAGATTGAAAGTCTTTTATTTAGATGTAAAGATTGTGGAAAGGGGTTTAGCCATAAAGAAAACCTTAAAGTACATACGGATGCTGTCCATTTAAGGGAAAAACAATATAAATGTGCTGAATGTCATAAAGTGTTTAAAAACAAACCAATACTTAGTTATCACATTCAAACATCACATCAACAAAGAGAAGAATACATATGTGCAATATGTGATCGTACTTATTATACTAAAAATAGTTTATCTCTACATATAAATATACACTCAGGAACTACAGTTGTTCCTGTATGTTGTGAAATTTGTGGTAAAGCAGTTAAAAATGAATATAAACTGAAAACACACATGCTTGTACACAATGATGATCACAAGTTTTCCTGCCAAAATTGTGGAAAATTATTTAAACGATTACATAATTTAAAGCAGCATGAGAATACACATAAAGATAGCAGACCTCATGTCTGTACTATATGTGGTCAAACTTTCAAACTAAGAACCCATGTCAAACAACACATGGCTGTCCATGGGAATATCAAGAATCACAAGTGTGTTGTCTGTGAGAAGACTTTTGCTAGGAAAACCCAACTGTACACTCATATGTCAACTCATGGATTGTGATGAGCGTAAATAAACAATATACTGTAATATCTTATAGTTCTTATATTTTAAGATGTTAACCCTTTCTGGATGGGTGAAATTGTGACATAGAACGTGAAAAAATTGTAGGGGAAAAAATTGATTTTCCTTATTTGTGTTTTGTTATACATACATAAAATAAACACAATGGGACACTTCATACTGTCAAAATAATTTTTACTTTTTTTTAACTATATGGATATATCCGCTACCCGTCCGCTGATGAGTAGAAATGCTGCGGATATATCCGCCACCTGTCTTTGAAGATATGACCATGACAATGTTAGGCAATAAATAAAGTACAATATGTAAACAATAAATAAAGAAAACGTAGTGTTGAGCGCGAAACGTCGAGGGGGGAGCGTAGGAGAGGTGGGTGGTGCGCGGGAGAGGGGGAGGCACAGGAGAGGTAGGCGTGGGAGAGAGGGGGGAGTGGGGGAGAGAGCGCAGCCGTGAAAAGAGCAGAAAGTAGCGCCTTGGTACCGCGAAACATCTGGTTACTGCTCAAGCACCTGCCAGTCTGTCTGAAGAGAAGGCTGATATATCCGCTTCCCGTCCGAACATCAAAAAAACCATAAGCGGATATATCCGCCACCGCCAAAGACTTAGGTGGATATATCCGTCACCCGTCCGCGAAGGGTTAACATATCGTCCCCACAATGTATGTAATGTGCATTGATAAAATATCAGTTTTAGCAAATTTCCCATACAGGGAATATTAGCAAATTTCCCATATAGGGAATAAGCTATTACCGTAGGTCTCATGGTGAGACTTGGACCCGGGACCGACTAATTTTTTCGTTTTGAGTCGTCCCATTACAGACTTCAATTTATCTATAGGCTACTTTAAGCAACTTTGCGCACAATGATTTCAAAAACGGCTCCTACGAATTCCTCTGAATTAATTGTTAGAAATATCTTAGTTCCGGCCTAAAAAATATCCATGCTAGCCACTGTTCTGAAAAAAATCATTTTTCGTTAAAAACTGTAAATGAAATTTTAATATCTCTTACATTGGTCTTATGGAAAGCTAGGTAGTCATTGCAGCTTACGAAAACGAAAATGTAAATAAATGAATTGATACAATGTTTACAAAAAAACTAAGTGACTAATTCCATAGACAAAAAGAAATACCAATAATGGTCTAAAATGATGGTCTATTGTCTGTGCTTATTCGCACGTCAAAATAATGTCACAACCCGCTCCCGTTGCAGTTCCAGTATTACAAAATAATGCAAAGGGAGCAGTTGATTTTTTTCTAAAAGAAGCCATTTTGAATAGCTTACTCACTCAAAATGTTCCTATTTTTAAGCCTTAAAAGAGTTTATTTCAAAAAAGAAAAGATGAGCATATTCAGTTAAGGAGTGAACGTTCTAAAACAGTCGATGAAGCGCAAAAGCCATTTCTGCTATCAAGAGGATTTTTTTAAAATTTAACAGAAAGTTTGCTTAGGTTGAACAGTTTCATTTCAGAACCCTGCTATCAAACGGAATTTTGAAATTTTACAGCAAGTTTGATTATGTTAGGTTAGTTTAGAATAGTCTCATTTCAAATTTAATATAAGTTGCGGGCAGATAACGTGAAGTTGATTTTAAGAAACCATCTAAAATAGAGTGTCAAATGACTAAATACAGTACAAAAGAACAAGACGTTTCCATAAATACCTTTTTAGCATTAGTTATTTAATACACTTCAAGGTGTTTTATTATGCAATGGGATGATTACAGTCGGGACCACAAAAGTTTGCAGTTGAGGGAGGAGCCTATTTACCATATATGGTTAAATGGTTTTGAATGAACCAATGAGAACCGTGCGGTTTTGCCAAATCTAATAATACCAGCTGATTTGAAAATATTGCTCAGTCCGAGCGCACTTGGGCCCGGGGTGAAGGGGGGAGAGTTTATTGCTCATTTCCAAAAACATATAGGTCGTTTTGGAGGTAGCCTACATCTGTTTCATCTACGTCCTCTTTCTCCTCATTTTCTCTTGCATTTACAGTCAAAATGTTTTAAGTTAAAAACCTATATTCAATCAAATTATCATTGTCCATCTTGGTTATTGTTACAAACAGTTCTCAAAATGTAAACACAACCATTTAAATAACAATAACATTATTTTCTAACCTCAAACAGTTCCGTGAGGCGTCTGAACAATCAAAAATATCGGTGGAAAGAAATCTAAAATTGACTGACGGATGCCAGCAGAGTGACTGACGGGACTGCAACGGATGAGTGTAGATAGCGCTATAGAAAATCCATTAAAGAATATTTTTGTTAACTGTGACGGGCCTAAAGTGACTGGACTGCAACGTGCCGTAACTGATATGTGTGGATCGACCTTTAGTCGGGACCAGAAATGGGAACGGGGGGTTTTAGCATAGATAAAAGGAGTATAGACACTCTAGTGTCTACTTCTTTTAATCTATGGTTTTAATGGTGTAAACACCACTTAAGATTTCATATCCCACAATTCTGACAGCGTTACATTACAGAGGGGTTAGGCTAGCGTTATAAGGGTGGGCCGTGGGTGGGAGGGGTTTAAAAGTTACGTAAAACGTGGTATGTAATATTAGACTCCCCACCTCCCCCCTTGGACCAGAAACCAGGATTCCTACACTGCCCACTCCATTCCACCCCTCGGGGATTTCCTCAAACACCTTAACCAGAAGTACCTTGACCGTGCCCGCACATCTGAGATGCTTCAACAATTTTTTCAGCCCTACTTCACCAATCCCCCAAGTCTCAGCATCGCCCACCTCACCAATCTCCCTGATCAATAATCCCCTAACTCGCCCAACCAAACCGTAAACCATGACAGGCATTGCTTGCCGTGGCCCACTACCTCAGTCCATCCACAGTTTGCAATAGACAGTATTGTTTAGTTTCATATGTTGTACTTACTTACTTTCCGTGTCCGGAAATCAGACTTCGCTTTTCAAAAAATTAGCTACCAGTACCGATATGGCTTTGTCATTCGCTTGTAAAAGATCATCTAATGTGCAAGACTGGTCTAGGCGTGGACAGATCATCAGATGACCAGGATCCTGAACAGCACTACACGCGCACAAGATGTTTTCTTCGTCTGGTAAGAGACCCCATTTCTGCATGTTTGTCTTGCATTTTGGTACCTCGACCCTGATTCGATTTAGAACCTTCCACACCGTGCAATGAAGGCCAGGAGCCAGTTCCTCCCTGGCTGGTATGGGAGGGTTAGTCAACATGTCCTCCCACCTTGCCACCCGATTGCTTGAGAGTGATCCATCCAGGACTCGTGTCCGTGATAAAAAGCTCTTTCTGGACCGAAACCGTTGCTCTGCAGGTTGGTGGCCGTGTAATGGGTGATGAGGGTCTGTCTCTTGCTTAGTCTTTTCTGCGTCGGCAGCGACATCACGTCGACGAATTGATGGAGGGGCGATCCCTACGATAGGATAGAGTTTGTGTACTGGGGTTGGTTTCAAACACCCAGTTACAATTCGAGCCATGTCATTGACAGCAATGTCAACCTTTTTTGCATATGACGATGCATTCCATACTGGTGCAGCGTACTCCGTAGCCAACAAACTAAAACAACAACAACACACAACAACAAACAACAAACAAACAAACAAACAAACAAACAAGCTAAAGCTGAGGTGCTGAGGACATTAGGGTTAGCACCCCGGTGAGCTTCCTGATGATATTATTCCTCGCTGAGACTTATCCTCTTGTCGCAATACAATGCGCCTTAAATGTTAGTGTGCGGTCCAGTATGACACCAAGATATTTGGGTGTAGGACAATGCTGAAGACTGTCTCCCCGCCACCTCACTTTGAACTCACGGCCTGCTTCTCTATTGTTTAGGTGAAAGGCACAAACTTGGGTCTTAGCAGGGTTCGGCTTGAGGTGATTTGCGTAATAGTACTGGGAAAGTTCATTTAGAGTCATAGTCCGCTTCTGTTCCACCTCTTCAAAACTCCTACCTTGTGCCACCACCGCCGTATCATCGGCATATATATACTGACGTGTAGCGTTTGGCAACGGTTGGTCGTTAGTGTAAATGTTATAAAGAGCTGGGGCTAAGACGCTACCCTGAGGCAATCCATTTCTTTGATTCCTCCATCTACTTTTCTTGCCTTGTAGGGACACGAAAAACGCCTGTTATGAAGAAAAGTGCCTATCATTGAAGTCAGCTGATTGTCTTTGATAATACTGTACACTTTTCCCAAGAGTCTTCTATGGTTTACGGTATCGTAGGCAGCTGTTAAATCTACAAAAGCGACACCCGTGATCTGTTTTCTCTTAAACCCATCCTCAATGTGCTAGGTCAGGTTTAAAACTTGGCCACAACAAGATTTGCCTGATCGAAAGCCTGCTTGTTGTGGAATGATCTTTTGTTCCAGAAAATAGCCGATTCGATTGAGTATCAGACGTTCTAATATTTTATATGTGTGGCATAAGAGAGAAACAGGTCGAAAGTTCTTAGGATCGTTTGGATCTTTCCCAGGTTTGAGCAGTGCAGCCACACGAGCTTTCCTCCATGCCTTTGGTATATGCATTTGGTTTATGCACATGTTCATGAGTCTCAACAACCATTGCATGGTATTTTTACCTAGGTTCTTTGGTTGTTCGACTCTGATCTCGTCAATACCTGGAGCTCTATTAGTCTTTAAGCTGGTAATGGATGCAGTTAGCTCGGACATGGTAAATGGTTCTTCCAGGAAATGATTCTCACTTGCCACATCACGCACAACAGGCTCCCGGTATTTCCTTTCATAGGTTTTGCCATTTAAAAGAAGGTTGGTAGCGACTTGATTGGCAGTAACTGTTGTAAAGTTGTCTTTTGGTTTTGTCGCATCTCCATTTATGTTCTTGAGGAACTTCCAGGCCCGTCTGCCGTTCACCTGCATATCTAAACTCTCCACAAGATCACACCACTTAGTTTTGCGATTTTCGGCAATGACTGACATAAGCTCTTCACCTGCTAGAAGTGTGTCCTCAGCAAAGGGATCATTGTCAAAGAGACCTTGGTATCGTTCTAGCAGTGGCTTTGCCTCTTCAGTGAGTCCTGCGATGTAATACTAAATGATATTCA